GAAACAAAGGAAACTTTGTAACATTCTTTCTAAACTACCCATGTGGTAAATGTATGAAGTCATCTTTCCACAAAGCAGCTTGGCTACGAATATTGATTTGAAACAGTCAGCTCAGTAACAAAGCTGACATAATTGATTACATATGCAGATGTGAAACAACTGGAATATTCATAAACTATTATGAAAGTAAAGTTACACACACTCTCCTAATAATATTTTGAAATTTTTAACCAAATCCTGTAGCATCTTAGGAAACATTTTAAATGCATATGTAGGTAGCTTATAAACATATACACTGCATGCTCAAAAGAAATCACTAAGTCTTTAACAGAATCTTGTAAACAAATATTCATTGCAGTATCATAAATTGTAGTACAAAAAACAGACAAACATTGAAAATATCACTAATAAAATATCCCATTTGTTTGTGTGACAATAATATTACAAAGTTGGCATAATAATGAGTATATTCAACTATGGTACACTAAAGTTCATTTTCAAGTCAATAATGGAACAACTTTTCTAACTCTTTTTAGTATTCTTAATTAATGGCTTGTCAAGCCAAATGAAATATGTAGAACAATAATTTCATGGAAAAACAAAAGTGGCATTATTTCTCTCTTATTTAAAATTTTTATATGAAAAAATTTAAATTTACCTGGTTCTTTACTTGATATTATTGTCAACCATTTTATAAAGACCATTTAGAAAGACAGAAAAAGACTGCTAAAATAATTTAAACATTATATAAATAAGAAAATATGCTTGAGGTTTACTTTTGTAGAATTTCTGTGCTACTCACTTTGAAGTTGCACAGTACCTAAAGATGGAGGAAAGATAGCTCTGATAGGCAAAGTAGACCATTTTCAGATTGCAATGGCCATGATGGTTTAAGTAAACTAACATTGGAATTTTTGTTTGTTTATTTACATAATTTTTTCATGAAATTTAAATATAATTTAAATTAGGAAATAAAACAACTTCAAATGAGTAATGTGCAGGAAGATCACTACAATATGGAATTAATTTCCAAGATCATAGGTCACAACTCTCCAATATCAGAAGGTCAAATGTTAAGAGCTAGTGCATAAATATATCTAATTTCAAGTATTCTTTGTTTCTTTGTTTGTCTTATTTTTTTCCAAGACAGGGTTTCTCTGTAGCCTGTCCTGGAACTAGCTTTTGTAGACAAGGCTGGAATTGAACTCACAGAGATCCATCTGCCTCTGCCTCCCAAGTGTTGGGATTAAAGGTGTGTGCCACCATCAACCGGCTAATTCCAAGTATATTATTATTATTATTATTATTATTACTTAAAAAAATACCAACCCAAATCCCACATCCTCCCCTCTTCTTACTCCCTCCCACTCCCTCCACACACCCTCACCTTTCCCACCTCCAATCTTAAGAGAGGGCAAGGCACCCTGCCCTGTGAAAAGTCCATGGCCCTCCCCACTACATCCAGGTTGAGCAAGGTATACATCCAAAGGAAATAGGATCCCCAAAAGCCAGTACATGCAATAGACTCCAAGTATTCTTTAAAAAGCCACGGTCACTGGGATTCAGTGATTTCCACTAACCTCACAGTAGATGCAGATTATGTTAACCATTCATAAGACATACACACACCACTACTACTGAGGACACACTGAGTGATAATTATTTAGAAATCCAAATTTAGCAACAAATCATCTAATTCTGCCACACCAACCACAGTAGATTCTGTGTGACAAGATCCACAGACTGAGGCTTTAGACTCCAAAGGGAGCAGGTCTCCTGGAACCGGTTGTGGAACTCTCTAGCCAGAGAGAAATTATTGAGCCGTACTTCTCATGGCAGTTTGTCTGCTTCTACTTCCTTTTAATATTACAAGATGTTCCTGATAGTCTGGGCGGAGAATAAGTAATCCCTTGAATTGGGATTACTGGCCATGACCTCTTTTCTAAGAGATTCAATGCTTTGCATCATAATCATTTACATAATTACAAAAATATATTCAACAATATATGAATTTGTACGGCTGTGCATGAGTAGGTGAGGTTGGCTTTGACACTGAGGTATAGAAAGCATTGCTTAAGTAGCTTTAAACTCAACTTTGAGGATTTTTAATAAGACAAAAGCTAGATGATAGTTAAGGATTACACATGAAAATTTATGAACTTGATCAGGATCTAAGAGTCATTCATTAACTATAAGTGATTTTTTTGTACTTGTTTAGTGTCATAATTAATTCTTTGAACCCACTGTTTAGTAACTAAGATGTTATCTGTTTTGGTCATAATTGATTCTTTGAACAAACTGTTTAGGAAATGTAAAACCTGATTGATTTTATGCTTTCCTGTGCCAAATGATTATGATAACTGTTCTTTGTAACTGCTTCACTGAGCACATCTTTTAAGATTGCAATACCTGTTCTTCTTGTATAAAAACCCTTGTTTGAGAGCTGCAAAATACACTCAGATACAAACTGCTTCTGTGTTTGTTTCTGTTTGTCACCACCGAAAATTTAACCACCTAGTCTTCAAGAAACCAAGTCCCACAAGACCCCATACCCGGCTGAGGTGGTCGGTGGCATAATTCTCCAAAATGAATTGAAGTTAGACAGTACAAATACCAGTTGTTAAGAATCAGACTGCAGCAGGTTTTTATTGTTTCTCAATTGAGTCTACAAAAAAATTTACAAAACAAAGCAGAATTAATTTCATAACAAAAATACCACTAATATATACCTCAGGTGTCTACTAATATTATGCAATAGGTATATGTCATATCACATTTTATTATTCAGTTATGCTTTGTGTGATTCAGCAGAATTGTTCTTACCTAATTCTTTCTGGAAATATTCACTTCTCACATACTGTTTCTTCTATTTGAAAATTATGATGTTCCATTTAGTTCTATGAAGAGATGAAGTGATACATGCACTAAATTGTAAAATTTACTCTCTAGTGAAAAATGTATTTTTATGATGCATAAGCTTTTTTGATTTCATGATTAAGCATCCTGTCATTTATTCTGATAAACAATTCATCATTTCTAAAGATAACCCTCAAAAACAGAAACCAATAAGAAGACATCGTTCCCACTTTCATTCTGTTGTCTGGCTTTGAACTTCTCTGATATCCATGATCTACTCTAAGGACAACTATTAAAAAGATTATGGCTGCTCTTGTTGTTGTTTATAGATCAGCTTGAGGCTTAATTATCTCTTTGGAGTATTTGTCCTTACTCCTGCTTTTTAGCAATCTACTTTAAGCAACTGTTGGTAGCTGCTTACATGTCAATACATCGATACAGTTGAACTCCAACCCAAAGTCAAAGCCATGCAAAAGTCTTAATAAGGCTTTCTCTAAGCATCATGTGGGGAAACAATGATATAAGCAATTCATCAACTGGATGGGATTGACAATTGCTAAGGTTGTTTTATCTGAGGGAATGATCTACTACAACACAGAATCACAAAATCTGTAAAGAGTCAATCTTGCTTGCCACTGAGCCCAGGGCTCTGCTATTTCTGCTCTCAGCTTCATGTCTTCCAAGCCACTGTTCTTATTATGTGATTTTTAACCAGTGTTTGCTTTCAGGTCCCAAACAATTCCTTGTTGTGAAACTGGAAACTGTTGGGTCATGATAACACACTCAACCCCTGCCAAGGCAGAGGTAGCAGGCTGTCCATGTAGTCACCAGGTATGCTCCCTCTTTCAGATTCATCCTGAATGACTCTCTAGCTCTCTCTGTCATTTAACAATTCTCTTTCTTTCCTTCTTTCTGTTTGTTCATTTGATGCATGGTGAGTTAAAAATCTAGGATCTGTGTTACTAACTATATAACCTAAAACAAGTCAAATCCATAGAACAGAAAAGAATTATAGTAACACTATATTTAAGAATGTTAAACATTACATAGGCATTCATGAAGATTAGTTATTTGTTTGGTTTGTCATTAGTTGTGGGGAGGCATTCCTAGAAATAAGCAAAAGAAAAAACTAGATTAACACATTTAAATAAAAATTACAGTTGTTTGATATTTGTGCCATAACCACATGTATATGAACATATGTTCATGATATATACACTAAATGTAATTATATGTATGTATATTGTGTTAAGAATCAAACAGGAGCATATACTAGCACTCTATCATTAGGCTATAATTTCACCTAAAGTTTCTTTTAAAGAAGTAAATAGACATTTCTTTGTTATATGTTTGCTATATAACAAAGAGAATAATGACTTTAGACACTATGTATTGTTATTGTGTGGTTACTAAAAGTAATAAATATCAATAGATAGGAAAAAAGGACACATTCCATTGTATTTATGACAAAACATCTTTTTACAAAATAATCAGTCATTGCTAGTGATATTTAAGAAGTATGGATACAAAATTAGCATAAATTAAGCTTCAATGGTTATAAAAATGGTTAACCATTTCTCCACGAAAACACATAATGTCATTTTGTAGTGATGAGGTACAAAATTCAAAATAAGGAAAATCTTGAAAGGTAATAACTAATGCTAATACCTTTGACAATTTTACAAATGGCCACAGCTTTTGTCATCCATTCTGAAATTATGTGCAATTCACAAGTGTTTTTAAAGACCTGAAATAGAAAGAACTCTACAAATTTCTCTCTGAAAAGAGTAACACAAGTAAACTTATTAACATTCAACTCCCTGGCTTTCCTTGGTTGTAGAAGTATATAGATAAATAGTTGGTAGATTTGTCTCAAGAGTCAAAATATGTCATCTTGTGTCTCTACCTTGTACAAAGATGTTGTTGGTTCCACATTTCAGGACAAGGCCCTAGGTCAAAAATATTTTCGTATTGCCAGATAAGAATATCAAGAATTTTTATAGAGGAAAAGGAAGAGAAAGACTTAGGAGAATATAGAAAGAAAGATGAAGAGAAGGAAAGAGAATATTGAAAAGAAGGTGATAAGAAAATAAACTGGAGACAAAGACCCAAATTGGAGACATGGACTATGACAGCTCAGGTGCTTAACTCACTGTGAATCTCCTCAGAGTTCTCTTTAGAGCAAGCTTCACATCCTTATTCCTGAGACTGTATATAAATGGGTTCAATAATGGCAGCAAAAATGTACAAAATACACTGAGAATTTTCCCCTGATCTTCAGACTTATCAGATGATGTTTTGATATGTGTTAGCATACCAAATCCATAGAATAAGGCCACAGTGATTATGTGAGAACTACAGGTGCTCATGGCTTTATACAAACCCTTACCTGATGACAACTGAGTGATATTAAAAAGAATCAGAGCATAGGACATTAAAATGACAACACTAGATGCAATGACTACTGTGCTGACAACAACAGAACTCACAAGCTCATTGGCATATGTGCTACTACAGGAGAGTTGCAGAAGGGGGAAGATATCACACAGGTAATGGTTGATGATGTTAGAATTACAAAAGTGTAGCCTGATCATAAATCCTGTGTGGACAATGGCACCAGCAAACCCCATCAAGTATGATCCAAGCATCATCAGGGAACATATCCTATGAGACATGATGATCATGTACAAAAGTGGTTGACAGATGGCTACATAACGATCATAGGCCATGGCTGTCAACACATAGCACTCAGAGTTGGCAAAAAAGCAGAAGAAAAACAGCTGAGTCATACATCCTCTAAAGGAGATGGTGTTTTTCTCTGAAACAAAACTCATTAGTGTTTTGGGAGTAAAGACAAAGGTGTAACATAAGTCAATTAAGGACAATTTAAATAGAAAAAAGTACATGGGAGTCTGCAGGTTTGAATTCAGGAAAATGAGACTCATTAAACTCAAGTTTCCCAAAATTGTGATGACATAGTTCACCAGAAACAGGATGAAGAGAGATAGCTGGAGCTCAGGTTGGTCTGTCAGTCCTGTGAGAATGAATTCAGTCACTGTTGAGTCATTCTCCATAGCCATTTATGTCATCAGCAGATCTATAAAAACAGAAGTAAATCTTCACATTGGCAAGAAACTGTTTTTAGAGTCCAAAAATACAGCTAGAGCCAGTTATTACAAGTTCATGGTTATTTAAAGCCACTGAACAAAGCATTACTTCCCATTCTCGAGAAATCCCTATTTATTATTTTTCTGGTCATGAAGAATATTTACTCTGATTAAACACTGACACAACTCCTAAAGTCTCTAAATTACCATTTTCTCCTATCTCTCTAGTTTTCATCAAAGATTAGGAATGGAAGGAATACAAACCATCACTGTCTTTTGAACCCATGATTTATAGTGCTTAGAGTTTTTAGGGGTGTTATTAAGATAAAGATGATTGATGAAATGATAACCCATGTTTACCTGAATATATCACTGCTCTTGAACCACTCTGGCCCCACTCCAATATCCTAATGTATTTAACTTTCTGACAATGAAGAGATATGCTAGCTATCAATACAAAATTAGCTCTGACCTCCTAAAATATTTATGACAAGGATATGACATGATTTCAATTTAAGAATTTCTCTTTAAAATACTTTTTATTTACACAGAAGAAAATAACAATCTCATATGTTCATCCAATACATCATTTCTTTCAAGTGAGACTCATACATATATTCTAGGAAAATATAGTAGACATTATATTCATTAGGATTCTCCAGACTCACAGTACTCATATAGCAAAAATTTATTGGAATGACTTACAGGCTGCAGTCCAACAATGGCTAGTTATAAATGGAAAGTATAAGAATCTAGTACCTGCTAAGGCAGACAAGGCTGGGTGTCTCAACTAGTCTGCTACAATCCCAAAGAAGGAATGGATGAACTGTTGAGGTTAAGACAAAAATGTGAAAATCAAACCCTTCTTTATTTCATTGTCCTTCTACAGGCCCAGGTTAAAGGCATGCCTTCCAGCCTCAATATCTAGATTAAAGGCACATAGCTTCCTGCCTCAAGATCTGTAACACAAGTGTGCTCTCCATTTCTGGATTATAGTTTGCTCTAGTTATTATCACGTTGAAAATCAAGAATAGCTATCAGAGAAGCATAGAAAATTATTCTGTCCTTGATGACATCTCTGAGGCTGACTGAGTTGCTTAATGAAAAAAAAAAATAACAGAACTGGTGTTTACATCATGTAGTATGTATATAAACACTCTCTCTTTTGTGACTCAAAGTCCTGTTTATTGCACAATTTTCCACAAGGAATACCTAGTTCCCTGAGCAGTGTTTGGTTGTTCCCTTCAGAATTCTACTCATTAATCCCTACACAACTCAGCACAAGTAAACTCCAGAGACATAGAAACTTGTCATTTTTTTGTAATTTTCTATAAATCCTAGCATTTGCATCAGTAACTACATAGTTCATAGATGAAAACTACAAAAGAAGGTTGAGAGATGAGGAAAGGGCTCTCAAGAATATATGAGTTTAAATTTGGATTTTGTTTCTTAATAATGAAACTATATACCAAAGTTCTAATTTTATTTACATATCCATATTTGTGTATATGTCTATATAATATTGCTCATAAGAGAGGCTCAGTAGTAGAAACATTACTTTGCATACACAAGTCTTCTGTGGGACCATTATTTGTACCCTGTCAATTATATGTTAATAAAATAATGATTGACCAGTAGCCAGGCAGGAAGTATAGGTGGGAAAAACCAGACAGGAATTAGAGTTGAGTCTATAAGAACAGAAGAATTCTGGGAAGAAGGAAGCGGATTCTGCAGTCATGACCCAGGAACAGAAGAAGTAAGATGTGGCTGCCTCACTGAATAAGGTACCAAGCCATGTTGCATAACATAGAAAAGAATAATGGGCTAATACGAGTTATAAGAGTTAATAAGAAGCCTGCGCTAATGGGACAATCAGTTTATAACTAATATAGACCTCTGTGTAATTTCTTTGTTACTTAATGATTGCAGGAACTGGGAAGGACAGAAACCCAGACAATAAATGGTACCCATGAGGACAACTACATCCACATAAAGCCTGAAAGAGTTTGGGAAGTAATTCTAGACAAAAAGAATAGAATTAAGCACAGCTTATTGATAGCAACATTTTCTCAGGTGGGCTTTGTTTTCTAGAGGCAAATGTGCCTCATTAAAGAGAGGCTTCCTGACTCACCTTTAGCTGTAAAACCTTACAGCTCTTTTTAGAGGCCCTGCCACAAAACACTTAAATGTTGTTGATGAAAAGCTGACCTCATGCTTTTTGATTTTCAGACATTGCATGAAAAAGCCTGGGCCATTTAAAAATGCCAGCTTTCTGGGCTGTCCTGCCAGCACAAACTCTGAATCTTTCAGGCAGGAGGTCCAGCTACAGAGCATTTGAATGTGGTTTATGAGCACACTGCTGCAGCTTGCTTGCTGGCAAGGACCTTGAAATGCCATAGAGTTGTGGCTATAGCCATTACCTCCTCCATGAGGGTGGAATCTCAGAAAGCTAAAAGATGGGCTGGATTCAGGTGCTAAAGCCACGGCTTTCACCTTAGCCATATCACTTAGCATATTAAAGACTCATGTGATCAGAAAAAGAGAAATATAAAGAAAACCTCTTTAAAGCGTGTTAAAAATATATGCAGGCTAAAGGTTAAAGTCATAAAATAAAAAAAGAGAGTAGTAGGGTGTGGTGGCACACACCTTTAATCCCAACACCCAGAAGGCAGAGGCAGGCTGATCTCTGTGGGTTCAAGGACAACCTGGTCTACAGGGTGAATGCCAGGATAGCCAAACATACACAGAGAAACCCTGTCTCAAAAAGCAAAAAAATAAAAATAAAAATAAAAGAAATAGAAGTCAAGATAAAGCCATATAAAGATGAAGAATACACAGAGAGTCTGGATACTTTATGTTTTTATGTTCTCTTTGAACTGATTGAATGCTGAGGAAGGAACAACAGCTGCTAAAAGATATTTGTTTATAGATGCTGCTGAATTAATTCAAGATAGGTATTTTGAAAATACCTTGACTTAAAAATTGAAGTCAAAATATATGTTACTTTGAAGAAGAATATTTGCTTTTGTTCCCACAAGAAATCAGAGGCTGTGGATTCATTCTGAATTAAGAAAAATCAGGTTTGATCAAGAAAGACCACCTAAGAAATCTCCAGTAGGAACAGATGGCCCAGATGTCTGAGTTCTACATCCAGAACAGATTAAAGACTGCTGTCTGAGATGATCAAGCTTCACAGGATACTTCAATCATGACTTGATGATAATTCTAAATTTTCTTTTGGTCCCCATGAGATTATCAGCATCACAACTAGCAGGAAGTAGCCGGGAAAACTATGCCCACATTCCCAAAAAATGGACTATTGATATTTTCTTTTGTTTAGAATTTGGTTGCAAGTTGTTATGGCTAATGGTTGGGAGAAAAGCTAATAAAGGATATTAGATTCAGAGTTCTTGTTCCTTAAAAAAGGGGGAAGGGCGAAGTGCTATAGGACAATGGTTTCTACCCTGTCAATTGTATGTTTATAAAATGCTGATTGGCCAATAGCCAGGCAGAAGTATAGGTGGGAACAACCAGACAGGAAGTAGAGTCGGGTCAATGAGAACAGGAGAATTCTGGGAAGAAGTAAGACACTGAATAAGGTACCAAGCCACGTGGCTAGCATAGACAAGAATAATGGGCTAATATAAGTTAAAAATGTTAATAAGAAGCCTGAGCTAATGGACCAATCAGTTTTTAAGTAATGGAGACCTCTGTGTGATTTCTTTGCTACTTAACAATTGCGGGAACCAGGCAGGACAGAAACCCCGACTCCATAAGTCTCTAGGTCTAATTGTAATGATAATAGTAATATGAAACAAAACAGAAGACCTACAGTTACCATTTTGTTGTTTTAATCAAATTAAATGATCTATATATTATAGCACATGATTATCCAGGACTTATAAAAGGGCGCAATTCTCCGTTCTGTTCCATATCTTTTATATATATCAACAAGGATTTCTCATCCTCATCACAGTGGACATTCAGAGGAAATAAATGTATGATGTGCTGTTCTCCTGTATAACACAGTTGAACATCACCTTTGGTCCTGCTCATTATTACTTGCTGATAATAATCCTTATCATCACCACCTATACACCTGTCAATACCAATGAAATGTCTCTAGACATTGTAATATATTTGGTGGACACTATTAAGGCTTAGAAAATGATGTGGTGGAAACAAAAAGTCCTCCTGGCTTTTAAGTTTTCTGCAAAGTAACTTGGTGGTATTCTAATAGAACCGACCTTGTAGGTAACTTGACCTTTCTGTAATGCAGCTGTTCATGGGCTCACTTGAGCCCTCCCTCTACTAAGGTATATCATTAAAACAAAAAAAAACCCTTAAGGAAAACTGTATAACACAGAATCACTGCCCACAAAATGTATCATAAAGTAGAAATACTGTTCTTCCCAATTCTAAGCCTCTGTGTATGAGTCAGCTGACCATGAAGAAATGTCCTACCTTCCCTATCTCATGGCAAATCAATAGACCTCCATTCCAGAATGGGTCTTGGTCTCAGAAAGAATGAGAATGACAAAGAAAGGGCCAAGAATAATCAGAATAGACAAACTAACTGGGTTTCATATTCCAAGTTGGCAATTAGATCCTACCCTTTTGTTCCAATCACATTTATAAATAACTTTTCTGTCTCTCTTGGTCCTATCTATAACATTGGACTATTTTCCTTGATCTCTAAGTTTTTGTTCACAACAGCTTCATGAAAAACAGTGAACAAGTTAATATATTATATTTATCTTTTTTAATAAGTCCTTTGTCTTAAGAATTTTGGACTTGGTCCACATGTATAATATGTGCATCTTAGCATGTAAGAAACTAAGCTAAAAGATTTTAATCCAAGGCTATAAAAAAACAATCATTCTTTTTTGTTTGTTTGTTTTGTTATTAAAAAAGAAAATCAATGGATTAAATTAAGAAAAGAATATAGGAAGAAATGGAATGAATGGAAAGAATGGTTCTTT